CTTCAGCCTTCCCTTCCTAACTACTGGCACCCCAAAAAAACTCCAGGCCTCCCCTCCACTCCCCGGAGCCACATGCAGGCTCTGTACACTGTCCCCATCTTGGCTTTGAGCAGGGGGGGAAGGCTGGCACTGAGTCCCTGACCTGGGCCACTGGGCTGTGCCCCCCGCCACCATCACCACATCACAGCCCTGTGGCACACTCCAGGAGAGGCGAGGGGAAGGCCCTTAGACAGCTGATGATGAGCAAACCCTGTTGGAGCCCCCCCAAGACACTGTCCTGACTGGTCCGTCTGTCTGTCCCAGGCTGCCTGTTTGATCGAAGGCTGTGCTCCCCCCAGGAGGTGTGTGTGCAGGGTAAGTGGCTAGCAGGGCTACCTTCTTCCTTCCCAAAGGGGATATGGAGGGTGCAGGGGTTACCATGGGGCACAATGTGTGGGAGCATGGCAGGAGAAGGGTAGTAGAGACCCTCATCCCATGGTGTTCATCCATATGGCCCTGCCACCTCCCTTCTTTTGCAGATGGGCTGTTTGGGCAGTGCCAGGTGGGCTCCATGCAGGACAGACCCTACTTCCAAGTCACCTCTCCTGTGCTCCAGCGCTTGCAGGATGTCTTGCGGCATCTCATGGCACAAGGTGAGAGCAGGGAACATCGAGGGGAGTCACTGTGGCCTGTCAGGGATGGGGTATCACACAGTATTGCCTAGTGGCACTAGGGCTGTCTGGAGTCCTACTGGCCCGGGGGCCAGGATGGGCTGAGGAGGGGTCCACCTGATTCTGGAAAGAGCAAGGCCAAACCTGGACTGTGGGACGCAGGGTCAGGACACTGGGGTGGCTTCCTGTGTGCTCCCCCTGAGGTCCCCCACTGTGTCTGACAGCCCCCTCCTGTGACAGGGCTCTCATGGCAGGACGGCATCACCCAGTATGTGATCTCGCAGGAGATGGAGCGCATCCCTCGCCTCCGCCCCCCACCTTCACTGGAGCCAGTAGCCAGAGACAGGTAGGGCAGCACCAGCCACCAGCCTGAAAGAAGGACAGCAAGGGCTTCGCCCCCCAAATGGGGTTTGGGTATGACCTTCTGTTACCCAGGTGAGTCACCTCAGTGCTGTTTGCCTCCAAGGTTCCTGCCCCTCCGTGGCTCGGCGGCCCCCCCTCCCCCGGGCCCCCGGCCTGCCAGCCGCTCAGCATCGAGGGCAGCCCCCACCGCTGCTGCCCTCCCCTGTGGTGCAGCGCTACCTGGAGCACCTCCTGCTGCCACCCCCACCCCAGCTGGGCTACGAGGAGGCTCTGCTCAACCCCTACTCCTACCACAAGGTAAGCCATGGAGGGGAATCCCACTTCTCCTGGTCAGGAAGGTAGAGATGGGTAGGGAGCTGCTGCACTCCCAACACCCTCCTTCTG